AAAAAAAGATCAAAGGAAATTTTATTTTTGTCAAATTTGTAGCTCTGTCAAATATATTTGAGGATTTGTGAGAACAATAACATACCAATCTAGAGGGTTCGATTGCAACTTTTTAATCTTGTTGACTGAAGTCCAAACTGAGAGTTTGTAAAGACAAAAAAGTGTAACTTACTTAGCCTTTCTTTTTCAACTACGTTGCATGCTAAAGATTATGTTTTTTCTTTCTTTTGCCAACGGAGTCTAGCCAAGTAAAAAAGAGAATTGACTTGCAAACTAGTTGTCTCAGGTTCGAACCCCTTGACATCATGGTAGGGTGCGTTTAGTGCTTGTTCCAACCAAAAAAAAAAGATTATGGCTTTTTTATTTGGTTTTCTTAAAAAATAAGAAATTACAAAAGAAAATTGCTAACAATCCCATAATCAACAACAGTATGGGTCAAAAAGTTGACACACAATTAGCATTAGTAATTTGGTTTTACTATTTCGTGGATATTTAGTAGGCACCGACCCCAACACTTTATAAAATCTTTTTAATTATTGACCGAGAAAAAAAAGATATTGAGCACGTGCCTTAAAAGTGTAAAGGGCACCCGTTTTCTTTTATTGAATAGTCAACCAGTACCATTGTCCCATAAACAGAAAATGAATGTACGGTCCTGATCGTTTATTACTTTGACCCAACAAACTGTACCGTCGAGATCGACTAGAAGATCTCAGCAAATAACGCGACACAAGCAAAATCTCGTGACATTCGATAAAATCGAGCCGCAATAGCGTCGGTCATGAGCAGTTATTGGCGTTAATAAATGCGGCTTCAATTTAATGTTATCGTTTAATTTTTTTCTGGGTGTGTGGAAAAGATGCTTTATTCTTTTTTTTTTGGGTCCAAAATCAAGATGTTTTCTTCAAAACAAAAGAATAGCATCATAGCAAAGGATACACTAGTGATGGTTTGAAACAATTGCTCTTCTAGAAAATGTCTTGGATTCGAGTCTTAGTATCGTGTAGTATATGTGAATTTAGTATACTATCTCTTTCAATAGAAAATGTCTTAATAAATAAATGAAAAGAATAGCGTCATAAGTCATAAGAGTGTACAATGGATAACAATGAACCATTCAATAATATCCATCCAATACCCAAACATGAGAAACGGGAACAATAGCGTAATTTTAAACTTGAGCACTCTTCTTCATTTTCTGTTTTTTTGTTGTTGTTGGAAAAGAACCTTTTCTTGTATTTAAGTCTTTTAACAACAACAAAAAAACATAATATTGGAAATTTACATCTATTTATTTTAATTATTAAAGCAGGGAAATTCGAACTTAAAATTTATTCCAATATTGAAAAGAAAAGTACTATAGTTTGAAGCATTTTGTGGTCAGGGGCAAGCCGAACTCCAAACGGAGATTAATCCCACCCTTTGGGTTTGGAGACACCTCGTGGTATTTACCAAAAAAATAAAAGTACTATTGGGCTATGTACTAATTAAATTTACACAATTGTGGTATCGATTATACTTCATGTGACACTAGACTACCTTTTTCTTGAAAACCCTAATCTCATCTCTCCCAAAAAACCCTCTACAAATGTTTTCACTTTGAGGGGGGAGGAATCCTCCCCTCTCCCCTCCTCCCCTTTCCACTTCTCGTCTTTCCCCCCATTTTCAGAGACAAAAGGTTTCTCATATTTGTCTTCGTTTTGTAATGATTTTCCTCCACTTATCACAGGCTGATACGTTGAATCTCCATATGTGTTTAAGTGTCAAATCTCTATCACCATTCTTTTTTAGGTTTCTTCATGTTTGGAATAAGTCACAGAGACTCTTTGGGTTTCATGTGTAGTCTTCACATCTCTTTTTGTGAGAGTTTTTCACTTATCCTTTATGAGAGTTTTCCACCTCTCCTTTGTGAGAGCTTTCCACCTCACCTTTGCGATAGTTTTATTTGTATTGTTATGCTTGGTTGTTCTGAGTTTGAACTCTTAGTTGGGATGCCTATGCCAGAGTTTCTTCAATCTTGCGGGATCATTAGTGGAGGAGCCCCAAATTATCTTCATTTTGATGTTAGATCGCTATGTTATTGTAATGGCTCTTTTGTGACTAGTTTGTATTGGCCCTTTGTTGGTTGAATTATGTATGCATTCCCATAATTTCTCAACAACAACAAAACTACCTTTTTCTTTTGCAACATTTTACCATATAAACTAAATTTTGTGTCAAAATGCCACATATCGTCAAGATTATTAGAATTTTTGTTTAAAAAGAGTCACGTGGTCATTATTATGTGTCACCTTATCACTTGAAAATCTTTTTTCTTGTTAGATTTCCACTTGTTTTTGGGTTACCAAATTATAGCCTCAATAATATTCAAGCTTTGGGGAAAGGTTTTCAAGAACCCCTTTTTTAAATTCTTTTTATCAAAATAACCTTGGGGTTTGGAAGAGCATTGTATAGGCTTTCAAAAACTAATTTTAATTTTCATGATCATTTGATGGAGTAATGATGTTTCAAATATTGTAGGATTGGACAAACCATTCTTCAATATCATAATTAGTTTTGCAAAAAAAACCCTAACAACTCTCTCAGTCTCAAAGAAAAACCTCAATGAGGGGGAGCAAGAAGAAGCATCATTGCCCTTTCTCCCTTATCCTCTATTCTTTTGGTTAGTGAATAAGTCCATTTGGGCTTTTTGAATAAGAAGCCCCTAATCGCGATTTCTTTTAACTGATGTTCAGTTCGAAGTTCCCCATCACCTCTTATGGGCTAATTCCTCAGTCAAATTATTCTCCCAAAACCATCTCTCTACAACTTCTCACATTCTCTATATTTAATTCTACCTCGCATTTGAAGGAGAGTTTGTTGCAATCTACTCGATTGGTTTTTGCCATATTTATTTGGTTGAAATAGTTGTTCGTTGTTATGCACAATTGTATTGCTAGAAACCTTGTTTTCCCCAGATCATAAGAGGTTTTGCATTTGCTTAAATGCTTGATGCAGTGGCGAGGTTGACTGCAGGGCTTCTTCAGGTGGTGGCGATAGGGTTCATTCAGGCTCATGTGTTGTTTTAGGGTTTTGCTCATTTTGGGTTTATGGGCTTTATTTGAGATTATACTTAATTGTAGTGATGTGGGGCTAGTAGTTGTTGATGTGTCTCCTTTGGTTTGGCTTTTTAGCATGTGATTAGTTTTGTTGCCCTCTTAGGCTCGGTGATTTGGATGTCTCGTTCATGTCTTAGTTGTATCGTTGAAAGTTATCTAATGAAGTTGCTAGTTGATAAATAAAAAAATTATTGTTGGAATCATGATTAAGAAATTGGGGTTCTTGGATTTATTGCATGATAAAAAAAAAAATTGGAAAGGATAACTACAATAATTTCAGCCTTTAGAGAACAAAACCATGTATATAATTTTCGTAATCCAAAACTCTTAAAAGATCCAAACTCAGGTAATAGTCATGATTGAGTTTGGGAGCAAGTCTGTGACCATGAAAATACATGGGCCTCTCATGAAGCTGTAATTAAATTATTTAATCTTAAATTGAATTAAATTAAATTAAATTAAAATGTAATATAATTTACGAGCTAATAAATTGAATTAAATTAAATTAAATTAAAATGTAATATAATTTACGAGCTAATAATAAAAAAAAAAAAAGGGAAGTTTTGGGCAGAGGAACAAAAAATACAAAAAATATAAGAAACGAGGAAAACGGTGAGGAAGTACTTGTTGTGAGGTGGTAGCTTTACAGTGAGGCTAGCTGGTTCTTAGCGGGAGCCAGCTGGCAAATGTACGGCGGCGTATACGCAACTACCGTCGCCGTTTCCTCTTTTCAGAACGCAGCTGTCTCCGAATATAGCAAACCCACACAAAACCTGACTTCTTTTTTAATAGGAAAAAAATAAATATTTTATTGGAGAGAGAGGCCAAAACCCTTTCTTACACATTTTTTTTATTTCGATTTTGCCCTTTTTCTTTGTCTATATGGCAACTGGGTCCTAGTACCTCCTGTAGTCCGTTGGCCCTGGTCGTGGGGTGGCATTTTGGGCGGTTTCGTTCTAGTTTACCAAAAATGCCCCTTTGTCATGAATTAATTAGTTTGGCACGTTGGGGTTGTGATTTTATGGCATAATTTTTTGGATTTATAATCCTATAATCTCACGTCAATTATTTCCTTTTGTCTTTTTGATGATATTATTTTTAGGGAATCTTTGATCATATGTTTATTTGAACCTAACGCGTTTGAATTATATCTAAGTAATTCACATACAATACATTTACTTATTACTAATTATTATATTTAATCTAATATAAGGACAGTTTCATCGATATCCATCTATTATAGTAACATCAAAAGTACTTATAACTCAAGTTGTCATGAGTATTGACTCTTACATCCGAGATCCTGTGTTCGAAGCAAATCTCAAGTCTTAGATATATGTTTTGACAACTTTACAAGTAGAAATAAAACATCTAAGCATACCCAAAGACATCGACATGCATAGACTTAAATTTAGTCATCACATCACATGAGATGATAATGCCCACGAAATTTCCACTTATAGCAACACATAGTTGCATCATGCTTATCAATTCAAAGGCCACAAAAGCATGCCTCTTAGTCCTCTCCCTAATTGGAAGGCTCATAATCTGTCATCCCAAAAAAAAACAAAAAAAACAAAACTCTATCCATCTCTATCTTTTACGAATCATGATGAATTTTTACCCAACGAAATCACCCCCACCCTCCCCATAAGGATTTCACACACGAGTGAAAAATCTTCGATTTCCCACTGAAAACCCCACAAGATCTTTTTTTTCCCCCAAACGGTAAAAAATCGCCGCAGGATACTGTGACAAATCCGACATTTCATACGATCCACAAGGGCAATTATGTCATTTTGACAACTATTTAAGTATGCACCATTTCGCATTCCAACAATACTGCCTTGGCAACGCGCCTCTCTCTCTCTCTCTCTCTCTCTATCTCTAGCGCTTTTTCTCGAGCGGGTCATCCGGTCTACTTTCCCGGTCACTGTCGCCGGAAAACGCACCGGAGATCAAACTCTGACCACTCTCCGTCGAGAAACTCAAACTGTTCGAACCCTCTGAACCTCTGCTTTGGACCGTTGGAGACAGTGAGAGTGATAGAGAACTCAAAAACTCATAATCAAAAGCCAACGAAAGGCCTCAAGACACAAAACCCAGACGCGTTCATGGTGACACGGTGTCGTTTCACTGGAAGACCGACGAGACGACGCCGTTTGGCGTTGCGATTTTGAATTGGGATAGGGGGCGTAGATAGTTTGGGATATGGGGAAGGTGGCGGTGGGATTGGCGGTTGGGGTGGCGGTGGCGGCTTGTGCGGTGGCGACGGTGGTGGTCGGTCGAAGAATAAGGAGCAGACGGAAGTGGAGAAGAGTGGTTGGGGTTTTGAAGGAACTCGAGCAGAGCTGTGAAACCACAGTGGGGAGGTTGAGGCAGGTCGTAGACGCTATGGCTGTGGAGATGCACGCAGGTTTGGCCTCTGATGGTGGCTCCAAGCTCAAAATGTTGCTCACTTTTGTGGATAAACTCCCCAATGGGTAATAACTTTTAATGCTTCAGTTGATTTTCTTTAATGGGACTTTTGGTTTTTAGTTTCTTGTATCTGTTTCTTCAACTGGGTTTTGGGTTGTTTTTAGGTGGTTTTAGGAGAAAATGTTGTTCCTTGATGAAAATTTGGGTGGTTATTTCGTGTGGTTTTCTCATTGGAGTTTAATGGGTTTATCAATTCTATTTGATTTTGGGCAAGAATGTAACTTCATTTTAATGTTTTTGATTTTGATTTGATATTTGGGGATTGTCTTTGCCTACGTGTTCTGATGATTTGTTGTTTTGTCACAGTTTTTTTCTATTTCTTTTGCGGCTTCTCTCACTGTTATAATTCTTGTTTAATTTATCTTTTGTTACTGTAGTTCCGTTCCCCCTCTTTTATGTGCATTTCGTATTGCCATCTGATTTGTGTTGTCGCTTAGTTCTATGATCTGCCCTTGTTTAAATTTCTTAGAAAAGATGGAATTGTTGGATGTTGGTCTTGTTTCTGCCTTTGTTCTCGATTATACTGATATCCGAGCTCTTCAATTGTTGTAAGTTATTTAATTTTATAGTGTTCCCTGTTGTTTTGACATTCGACAATGATGAATCAATCATATCACTAATTTGCTGGGAATATTTTTTTTCCTTGAAAATTTTGCAATATACAGTTCTTTCTTCCATTTCTTTCTGTTCTCATGTTGAATGTGAGTACAGTAAATTCTTTAGGAGTGCGGTGTTAAGATTTCACATGGACTTTTCTTTTTCATTTCTAGTTCTCCTTTTTCTTAATAATTTTACTTTTTCTTTCTGTATTAACACAACTTTTTTTTTTTGTTTGTTTATGTATTATCACAAAACCTTTCTACAATTTTTTTCTCAGTCAGTGTGTTATTACCCGCTTTTGTTTGATTAATGCAATGTCTTGTTTTAAAATAAGCAGAGACCCCACTACCTTTGAAGGGTCTGTCATTTGAAAAAAGTATTCTATAAATGAGTTTGGTGATGGTGATGGTGATGGTTAGTTTACAATAAGAGTGCAAAATTGTCTACTTTGTTTTTGCATGGTTTAGCATGACAGCAATTTCATTATTCATTCAGTCGTATAGTGTAAAATTATTATGCAGTTAGATACCCTCTTTGCATAAGTTGTGTAATAAATAAGGATTGATTTTTTTTATTTGGAAGGCCAAACTATCCCCCAAGGTATAAATTATTGCTCATGCTAGGTGAAATGCTTGTGATATGATTCAGAGAAGAGGGTCAATTATCTGTCTCTCTCCCCATTGGTTAGTACGGAAGAGAATTCTGAAAGTTTAGATCACTTGTTCTTCACTGCCTTATTGCATTAAAGCTATGGCTTAAATTTTGTAAGGAATCTAATCTATGTTGGGAAGATCTGGAAATTTTTTGGTTGGCAGAATAAGTTGAAAGTGTTTTGTGATTGTAGTGTGATGGCTGTATTTTGGGTGGTGTGGATAAAGAAATAGAAGAATTTTTGAAAAGTATGGTGGGGTGGGTATGGATCCTTTGTTGGAGAAAGCTTGATTTTTGACCTCTTTATAGGCTTTGATTTCTGTTGAGTTTAAAGACGTACCATTCTTCTTTGGGAGCACATAGGCAGGATGTTGTCATTTTCTTTAGCTTAAATCTGATGTAGTAGCTGGTTGATAGTGTGTAAAGTTCTTGTATTGGTGGACAGCTTGTTCATTTCTTATGTACATATTCATTTTGTTCTTTATAAGTATTTTTTCTTGATAACAAGTGTTGAGACTAATTATTTTATCTTTTAATTTCTTGGGGTAGGAGCGAGAAAGGAACTTACTATGCGCTAGATCTTGGGGGTACTAATTTTAGGGTCTTACGGGTTAAGCTAGAAGGCACGAGGTCCTCTACCTTGGAACATGATGTATATCGACAACCGATTCCTCAAGATTTGATGACTGGCTCGAGCGAGGTGACTGAATTTGTACCTTCAGATTTCTGTAACTGTTTAGCACATACTTCAAAGCTTCCAATGTGCTGCTGTCATGGAAACTGATGTGTTTCAATTGCTTGCAGGATCTATTTGATTTTATTGCTTCATCGTTAAAGGAGTTTGTTGAAAGAGAAGGAGATATTTCTGAGCTTTCACTGGACAGAAGAAGGGAGCTTGGATTCACATTCTCTTTTCCCGTGAAACAAATGTCTGTGTCATCAGGCACTTTATTAAAATGGACAAAAGGGTTTTCCATTGAAGACATGGTTAGTTGTATGGTGTCCATTAAATTGTACTTCAATAAAACTCACCTATTTTAGGGAACATTGTGAAGGCAAGAGCATAGTTGCTTAGAATATTTTTTTCCTTGCTGATGCTTAAATAAAATGGTAGCTCTAGTTTTTCTTTGCATGCCCGAGCATGCATAACAAGTCTTCCATGGTGCAGTATATGAACTGAGGCTCAGTTTTTTAGGTTGAGTTTTACTTTGTGTATGACCTCAGAAAGCTGATTCTTCATGGCCCAAACCAAATAATCGTCTTGATGTTTTATTATTTCATCACCTAAGAAAAGCAGTAAAGAAGATTTGAAGATTCTGGAATCTTCTTAATAAGTTGTTATCTTAGTGAGTAATGTGTGAAAAGCTTGCCACTTTCCTCTGCTCTCCTGATATAAGCGTGGTTTACAATGTTTTGTCAGGTTGGAAGAGAGATTGCAGGATGCTTAGAGAAAGCAATGACCAGGAAAGGCCTAAATATGAGGGTCGCAGCACTTGTAAGAAAGCTGTTTCTCATCTTTACATAACATTGCTAATTGCTTCTTGCATATCCCTACTGGGATCTTTTTATTTTTAAAAAATGGAATGTTCGGAATGGGAAAAGTCTTAATATTATTGTGTCTACTATGTCATAGGTGTACTGTAAATCCTCAATCACATAGGAGGCAAGCTTATCACTGCAATTACTTCATTAATTTTTTTTAATTATAGTTTTTTTTCCTTTGTGCATTACATATGATTTTTAGTAGTATTATCGTTGGCCCTACACACCTTTTGTTGAATTGAAAAGATGCATGGACTCTTGAATTGTTTTAGTTATGATTGCCAAAATATGGATTCTTTGGCAAAGTGTGAAAGTGAGTGAGGATAGAACAGAATTCACATGCCAAAATCCCCTACTTTTTTTGCCTTGGCATAGTATGGATTTCATCTTGATGCTGATTAAGGTTAAAATATGGATTTCATCTTTATGATGATTAAGGTTAAAATTTGTACCTTTTTTTAATAAAAAGAAGTAAGGGCATGATTTATCTAAAAGGGAAATTATTTGTTAGATATTGCATGCTCATACCAAATTAATGAAATGGCTAGTAACAAGGCCCTGATACCTTTTATGAAACAATATTTTGTTAAATATAAAGGAAAACAAGGTTTGTGATTTATTGCAGTCAAAACAAATTAATGTCGTGGGCAGTAAGATGGCCATGATACCTTATATGAAGCAACATATATCAATTTAATTCTAATTGGTTATGGACCACATTTTCTACTATGTATGGCTTTCCTAGATCCATATATTACTCATAACTCTTTCATTTATTTTTATTTTGGGTGCTGGGAAAAGTAGGTACTACTTAATAGCCTTTAAATACTAACCCCAATCACTACAATTTCAGCATAGTTGTGAAATGCTATATTAGATTCCAATAAATCAATGTCTGAAGGCCACCAGAGGAGTGGGTGTGGAAAATTTTGCTGTGCAGTTAATTTGCATTGGGATAATGCATGCACCGTACAATATTTATGATTGCGTTATCTTCCTTGCATGTGTTGTGTTAGTTATTTAATGTTAAACACTTCTAAACCAAGCATAGCATTAAAGTTAGTGGTGCTACACTTGTTTTTAGGGAAAATCAATTAATCTAATGAAAACCATTAATTGGTTTATAATAGTAAGATAAGGGATTCATTTCTGATGTAACTCTTAATCCAGTAAATTTTTTCATTGTAACTTGCGACTGGAAATCTTAAATTTTTATTTATTTATTAATGACTTGATGGAGATACATGATGATATTCTGTGAATGAATTATCCTTTTTATTTGTCAAGAACTGCAACGCAACTTTTGTGTGCATGTGTCCCTGCACGCTCATTTGTGTGATTCTGCATTTGCTTTTTTTGGTTGCGAAATTTGGGAACATGATTTCTCTGTTTGTTTACGCAGGTCAATGACTCTGTGGGATCATTAGCACTTGGACATTATCACGACACAGACACTGTTGCTGCAGTGATAATTGGAACGGGTACTAATGCCTGTTATTTGGAAAGGACAGATGCTATAATTAAGTCTCAAGGGCTTCTTACAACATCTGGAGGCATGGTATCCATTATCTTGTCTCCCTTCAGATATACGTACATATATCTATATATCTAATTCTTTTACCATGACGAGATGATGTTTTTTTTTAATATCTCTTGACATGAAGTCGTAATTTTAGAATAATATTTTTATATTTTTTTGTTAGGTTGTCAACATGGAATGGGGAAATTTTTGGTCATCTCATTTACCAAGGACCGTGTATGATATTGAATTAGATGCTGATAGCCCCAATCCGAATGATCAGGTAAGATTCATTTTATTGCTCTGTTGTTGCTTAATTGTGCAGATGCTTAATCAAATATGAAGTTTTATTAATCTCATTATGTAAAGCATTTTTCAACAGGGTTTTGAGAAATTGATATCAGGAATGTACCTAGGTGATGTTGTAAGGAGAGTGATTGTCAGAATGTCACAGGAGTCAGATATTTTTGACCCTATTTCTTCCAAGTTATCAATGCCTTTTATTTTGAGGTATGCTCTCTGTGTCTCTGTGTCTCTGTGTCTCTGCCTCTCTGCCTCTCTGTCTCTGTCTCTTTCTCTTTGTCTCTGTGTCTCTGTCTCTCTCTCTCTTTCTGATGCACTTGCTGGGCATGCTCATCATGCCATCTGCTGATGGTGATAGTTTTTGATTGGCTGAATGCAAAATGGCATTATGAAAAATAGTTAATGTTGAGATGTTCAACTTGAGATTACTTATCAATTACTATTTATTGCTGATTGTCAATGTTGCTTTGGCGAACAACTACATCCCATACCTTAAAAACTGTTTTTACCGTGTAATTTCCAGGACACCATTGATTGCTGCAATGCATGAAGATGACTCTCCTGACTTGGAAGAAGTACGACGTATCTTAAGAGATAACCTGGAGGTAGACAAGGCATACATCTTTTGTATTGATTCTTTGTCTCTCAAGGCTTTCAATTTTCTAATAATATGATTTACTGACCTGGCCGTTTCAGATTCCGGATGTCCCTCTAAAGGTTCGAAAGCTCATAGTCAAGGTGTGTGATGTTGTGACCCGTAGGGCTGCTCGATTGGCAGCTGCTGGTATTGTGGGGATCCTGAAGAAGATTGGTCGGGATGGGAGTGGTGGAATCGCAGGTGGAAGAAGTAGAAGCGATCAGAAAATGAGAAGGACGGTTGTGGCAATGGAGGGGGGTTTGTATACAGGTTATACAATGTTTAGAGACTACTTACATGAAGCATTGACTGAAATATTAGGGGAAGATATTGCCCAACATGTCATAATCAAGGTCACTGAAGATGGATCAGCCATGGGAGCAGCTCTCCTGGCTGCTTCACATTCATCCTACCCTGTGGATAGCGTACAGTTGCTATAAATATATATATTCATATATACATATAGCCCCTGTAAATGTAGAATTCATTTTCCATAGTTGATATCTGTTTGTATAAAGGGAAGGTTTGTCCATATTTTTCTCTAGTAATTATTTTTTCTATATACTTATGCTGGCAATGCAAAATTATTGTATCATTTTTTTGTCAAAATTTCCTTAAATGGCAGGAATGTTAATCATGTCAATTATTACATTCGTCCTAACATAAATAGGAGAAATTATACAGTAGATATTAACAACACAAAAGAACTTTTGACAATTTTTTTGATGTTGAAGAAATTATGATAGTTAATATAAGAACAATAAGTAGTGGATTGAATGAGAACACCCATGGCCATGGCTTCGCAGAGAGAACCAAAGAGAAAATATTGCCAAGTTTTGGGCGGTGAGAAGGTGCTGTTTTGACTGTACACGCAGTTTTGACTGTACACGCAGTTTTGACTGTACACTTTTCCACGAAGGTTTGATGGGTGACTTTAACGACAATATCAAACGAACGATAGTTACACATTTTCTTTTAGTAGCTATATCCAGGTGTCATCATATCATTCATCTGTACTACCACTTGGCAACGCCACGTGGTTGTACAGTACCATTGTATAATTTCCCAATAAGTAGGCTTATTTCATTTTAGTAAAAAATATTTTTAAAATTGGGAATAGGAATGACAATGGGTCGAATCAGTAGTGGGTGGGTTGCCATTTCCATCCCCATCTCCGTTAAGCATTTTTCCTCCATTCTCGCCTTCATACCCGTAATATTCAAATTGGGGATTCCCTATCTCCGCCTTCATTGGGGAACAAGTTCCCCGACTTGCCCCATTACGAAGAAAAACCAATGTTAAATGAGAAAAAAGCACTATGAGCACAAGATATGTTATGTTGCACCGACACTCCAAACTGTAGTGTCGGAGTGTCGAACATGCCGACACGCCGACACGGCTCCGACACGCCGCCGACACGCGTTGGACACGGTCAACAGCTGGGACACGGCTCCGACACGGTCAAGACACGGCAGTGACCATATTGAAATTTTGAAAATAAAAGTTGGGGTCTAAACGTGATTTTTGAAACTTTGGTGGACTGATTTGAAATATTTTTAAAAAGATGGGTTAAAAGTGGAAAAAGACTTTTTTAAACCTAAATGAATCTTACATTTTCAGCAGCCACTTCAGTTCCTCCGCGCAGCTCTTCTCCTCTTATCCAGCTTTTGCAAAGGTAAGTATCTTTTCAAATTTTTTTTCCCTTTGTTTTCAAATTCTTTTATTTATGTTCTCTATCTCTATTTTCTTTTCTTATCTCCCTCTTCACAGCAGTAGAAGAGTTAGTGATGCGAAGTTGAAAATAAAAAATGCCCAAGCTAGAAGAACTGTTTCTTTGCCCACATCAAGCAAAGAAGGTTCTTCGAGTGCTAGTGCTTTTGATTTGGATTTTGGCATGAATGAAGAAGTTTTGGAACCAAAGAAAAGGAAGGGAGTTAGTGGACCTCTTGAAAAAGCCTTCCAAAACAATGCAAGAGAGCAATTGGATAGTGTAATAGCAAGGATGATGAACATGAGTTATTTATTTTGTTTTATGGAATTATGTGACATTGAAATATTGAGAATTAATTAATTATTATTTTAATTGCCGTGTCCTAGCCGTGTCCGTGTCCTACTTTTTTGAGATTTTTCGTGGCCGTGTCCCCGTACCCGTGTCCGTGCAACATAGAAGATATGTATCAATTCCATTTTTATTAACTAAAAATCTAGACTATTTAAAAAAATTAATACATGTCAAAATTACATGTTCAAGAATGATCATCATTATAGAGGTAGCACTACCATCATACATCTTAATAATATAATTATATGATAAAATAAATTACATATATTCTAAATGGCCATTGTGATCGAAACCCCCCAAAGACCCTTACCTATGGGGAAAATGAAGATAATATGGTAAATTCACACTTTTTCATATTAAAAAAATTAAAATTAAAAGAAAAATTATATAATAGAACACAACTACCCAATATCTTTTTTAATTCTAAAATAAATTTATAAGGTGTGGGTGATAAGCAATTACATTTAAAAGAATACATGAAAATAAAAGTAAAGTAAAACTTAAAAAATAAAAAAACAACACGTTGGGCTAAAACCGAAAGCACAACCCGTCAAGTAAGGAAGAAATAAAGAAATTAAAGCACAAGTTTTTTTGGTCTGAAAAAGAAAAAAAGAAAAGAAAAAGAAAGCACAAGTTACCCACGATAATAGGCGCCAACGGAATCCTAATCCTCCTCTCCTACTAAGTTTCCCATTTGCAGGTGAATTGTTACCTCAGCAAAAGATCAAGGCAACCTAATTGCAATTGATTTGGATTCTAACTTCTCTTTGAACAAGGCTTTGGAGTGGGGTAGGCTATAATATATAAACCCTAGAGTTGTAGTTAGCCTTTGTATCCATTAATTTCTTAAACGGTTTCTTGCTTCTTGTTAGCCGTGTCTGCAATTCGAAGCTCATACTTGTTGTTAGCCATGATGTCTGCAATTCGAAGTTCATACAAGGAGAAAAACAGCGAGTTCCGGGAAGCAATGGGGTTCTGTTTGTCTGTTTTTACAATGGTTGCTCTTACTTTGTTTTTGTGCCTCAGTGTGGAAGAGCCAAAAGGCCCTGAATTCAGCATCAACGGTGCTTATCTTACCCGATTTAATTACATCAAAACCAACCATACTCTCTCCTACAAGCTCCCCCTCAACATCACCCTCACAAACCCTTACAAGGATCCCTTTGAGTTGATTGACACCCAAGTCACTGCATACTATCAAAAAGAAAGATTTGGCCTTGTCACCTTGATCGACAGCCGGACAACGTTTCGCCTAGAAGCCAAGAATACAACCTTCTTTCAGAATGCAGTTGTTCAAGGGTGGAAGCCTATGGTGTTTGAGGAACCCGTGCTTCCCAATACTGCTCACTTTTACAGTATTGACGTGGTGATTGCTTTCAAACAAAAGGATCTTGAGATTGATTATACATTGTCAGGCGAGGTCATGTGCAATCTAAATGTTCCTTTGAGTTTTAACGAAATATCTTGCAATGGTTACAAGCCTACAAAGTGCTTCCAAGTTTTTCTTGAATAAATATTGTTTGTACCGTATCTGACCCTCCACTTGTACAACGACACGTGGATCTTAGAAACTCGCTCAAGTACCCAAGGCCTCGGACAATCGGCATCGGCCACCGATGGCATTGTCTCAAAGCTGCGAACAGCCATTACAGGCCCAGCTCGTCTACAATCGGCATCCCTTACCGATTGTAGAGAATCAACCTCGAAGTATCCGCCCAAAATATCTAAAGACTCGTGTCGACCTCAGAGGGCCCTCCCACGAGTCCCACATCGAAAATGAGTACTAAGAGCATACAAAATGCCCTCTATAAATAGGCCCCTCCACTACAATACAGGGGTAAGACTTTTAAGCTTGACTTCTATACTTTTATATGGTCAACAACAAGAGCTCTTAAAAACAATCTTACTTGAGCATCGGAGGGTCTTAGGCTGGTTCCACACCGGTTCCATAGACCTCACGA